AGCCCAAAGAGGACAATATTTGCTAGGGGAAGCCCGAAAGGGAAAGCGACAACAATATCTACTAGCGTGGATCTGGGAAGCCCAAAGAGGACAATATTTGCTAGGGGAAGCCCGAAAGGGAAAGCGACAACAATATCTACTAGCGTGGATCTGGGAAGCCCAAAGAGGACAATATTTGCTAGGGGAAGCCCGAAAGGGAAAGCGACAACAATATCTACTAGCGTGGATCTGGGAAGCCCAAAGAGGACAATATTTGCTAGGGGAAGCCCGAAAGGGAAAGCGACAACAATATCTACTAGCGTGGATCTGGGAAGCCCAAAGAGGACAATATTTGCTAGGGGAAGCCCGAAAGGGAAAGCGACAACAATATCTACTAGCGTGGATCTAGGAAGCCCAAAGAGAACAATATTAGCTAGGGGAAGGGAAAGCCCGAAAGGGAAAGCGACAACAATATCTACTAGCGTGGATCTAGGAAGCCCAAAGAGAACAATATTAGCTAGGGGAAGGGAAAGCCCAAAGACGACAATATCTACTAGCATGGATCTGGGAAGCCCAAAGAGAACAATATTAGCTAGGGGAAGCCCGAAAGGGAAAGCCCAAAGGGGGAAAGCCCAAAGACGACAATATCTACTAGCTGGCCTAGGAAGCCCAAAGAAGATTTTAATCCACACTATCACATTTTAATCCAAAGTTACACAAAGTTGGTTTCATCAAAAGAATTTGAGCACAACAACTAGCAACTGCAATATATTCGGCTAGGTAAGGTAACCGAATTTTGCTTTTTACTAAACGAAGAAATTAAGGAGCTACCAAGAAATGGACAAGTTCCACTAGTACTTTTAAGTAAGCTTTCGACAAGTTCCACTAGTACTTTTAAGTAAGCTTTCGGCAAAATCAGGAGCTACCAAGAAATGGACAAGTTCCACTAGTACTTTTAAGTAAGCTTCCGGCAAAATCCGCATCTGAATATCCTACCAATTTCAATTCAACATTTGTAAGATACCACAATCCTAAATCAATAGTTACAAGCAAATATTTAAATATTTTTTTAATCGCTGTAAATGAGATTCCTTAGGGAAAGATTGAAACCTAGCATAGACATACACTAAACATAATATCGGATCTACTAGCGGTCAAATAAAATAAAGATTAATCATACTTCGATAAGATTTAATATCCACACATTTACCTTTTTCATTCTTGTCAAGCTTAATAGAGCTCATGAGAGTTTTTGCAACATTACCTTTATTGAACTTAAAATTTTGAGAAGTCTTTATGTATTTCTCTTAATTGATAAAAACAGAGGTTTGATTTGAAGTCTAAGAAAGAAATAAGTTCTCCCATCATGCTCATCTCAAACTCTCTATGCATACATTTTAGAAAATTCTCCCCATCAGTAAAACCAAATATGATATCATCCATATATATTTGCACTAATAGTATATCATTTTTCTTTAATCTTAATAAAAAGTGTAGTGTCGAGTTTACCCCTTTTAAAATTATTCCCGATAAGAAAATTACGTAGTCTATCATACCAAGCTCTTGGAACTTGTTTTAAACCATAAAGAGATTTTTTTTTTCAACTTGACATTACGAAGAAAATCAACCTTTTCAAATCCGGGAGGTTGTTCTACCCAAACTTTCCCTATAATATAACCATTCAAGAATGCACTTTTTAAGTCCATTTGATATAATACAACATTTTTGGAAGGAGCAAAAGCAAGTAACATTTTCATAGCTTCTAATTTAGCAATGGGTGGAAAAGTTTCTCATCATCTATGCCTTCTTCTTGACAATAACCTTGAGATACAAACCTAGCTTTATTTATAATGATATTCTCATTTTCATCCATTTTATTTCTAAAAGCCTATTTGGTTTCAATAATAGAAATAGTAGAGGGAACTAATTCTGAAGGGTGGTTACTTTCAAATTGAATTAGTTCTCCTAAAATCCATAACTCGTCATTTTCGGCATTTTTAACACTTTTTGGTTCAATTTAAAAAACAAAAGCAAGATTATTAAATAAATGAATAAAAGAACGAGTTTTTACACCTGGTTTGACATCACCAATAATCAAGTCTTTGATATGAGATAAGACATACCTCTGCATTGATCAAGAACCTTCTTCCTTCCTTTCATTTAAGATCACCTTTTCTTTACTTAAACAATTTCTTTGCCTTTGTCACACTAACGAGTAAATCTCCAAAATTTCTTTTTAAATCATCACTCCAAATAGATTCATTAGAAATATTATTGCAAGATTCATCAACCACCACACGCATAGATTACTCAATGACTAAAGTTCTTTTACTGAAAACTCTATAAGTTTTACTAGCCGATGAATAAGAATCAAATTTTCCAAGCTTTTTTTTTTGTTAAAAAAAAAAACATTTACAACCAAAAACTCTCAAATACAAAATATTTGAAATTTTGTTTTGCCAAAGTTGATAGGGAGTTTTATCTAAGGTAGGTCTAATTAAAACTCTATTTAAAATATAAAGCGTTATTAACGACTTCAGCCAAAAAAATATTTAGGTAAATTATACTCATTTAACATTGATCTAGCAAATTCTTGTAAAGCATGATTGTTTTCTTTCAACCACACGGTTTTGTTGAGGAGTTCGTAGAGAAGAGAAGTCATAACAAAAACTATTATTCTCACAAAATTTTTCAAAGGCAATACTATCAAATTGTCCTCCACGATCACACTTAATCTTGGTAATTAAATTTTTTTTCTCATTTTGAACTCTGTTGCAAAGCTAGCCAATCTTTTCAAAACATCATTCTTATGTTTTATATCAAAATCCAAGTAAATCTCGAAAAATCATCAACTATCACAAAAGCATAGTAATTCCATCTCGAAAAATCATCAACTATCACAAAAGCATAGTAATTCCCTCCATAGCTAGATATTTTAGAAGGGTCAAATAAGTCCATGTGTAATAATTGAAAAGGTTAGTAGAAATCACACTTTTAGATTTGAGAGAAGACTGGGTTGGGTTAACATTTGACAAGCATCTCAAATTTTATCTTTTTCAATTTTAAATTTAGGAAGACCAATGACTAATGAATTTTTTGAGATATTTGAAATTGAAGTGCATACTATGTCCTAGTCTTCTATCCCATAGCCAAGAGTTATTAAGCAAAACCGAAAGACACTTGTCATGTGAACTATTAGATTAGGTCAAAAGAGAAAGGGAAGGTGGAGATTAAAAATAAATAAAAAGAAAGTTTTCCAAATTTATTTTTATATATTTTTTTAAATATAATAATATAAAAATAATAAAAATGAATGAGAGTAAGTGTCAAATGACCCCTCCCAAATTTATTATAAATATAATAATAATATAATAATAAAATGTTGGTTAAATTAAAATTTCAAAATTTATTATAATATAATAACAATAAAAATTTGGTGGGTAACCACAAACATTTCCAAATACAATAATATAATAATATAATACAGTCATAATAAAAATCGATGTAAGTACGGTTAAATTCAAATTTATATTATATATAAGTAATTTTATTTAGAAATATAATAATAAAAAAACTCCACATGTGGTTACTCTTCCAAAATTATAAGTGTACTTCGATTAGTCCATCATTTTGATTTAGCTGCTACATCATCACGTCGGGTATGTTGTATCGACTGTAATTTCTTCGTTTTAGCTTTGATTTGAGTGATTAAAAAATCCTTGAAATCATTATTCCCAACCTTACACGATGGAAAGTTCAAAATGCTGAAAATTATAAGGACCAAAAAGCCAACAATGATATGACCACGGAGTGTTTACGATATGATACAATTATGATACGACATGTGAATGACGAATATCTATATATATATATATTATGATATGATATGAAAATGATATGAAATATGTTATGGTACGAGATATGTGATAAATTGACATATTTATGATATGATATATTGTGATGTGATATATTATGTTTAGATTCTTTTGCGTGACCGTTGAAGTAATTGTTGTATGAGTCGCATGTTATGAAATGTTATGTTAAAAGCATGGAACGTTGTGTTATGTCTCATAAATTGTATGGATATGTTATGAACAATATGATATCACAACAAATGACATGAATATAACCCCGTTAGAATTAAGTATGATATGAGAACTGAAAAATGAAAAATGATATGATATGAATAAAAAACGATAGCGGTGTTATATTTAATAATGTTGAAAATAGAAAACTATTAGAACCTCATGCATTATGTGTGCTCATACATTAGGGGATACCCCTATTCCATCACGATGATACGCATGCATACACTAATAGATAGGAGAACTATCATTATGTTTTATATAACACTGCCGTGATGGTTGCTAATTCTAACGAGTGTCCGACACATAGAGCTACCAGAGCATGCTTGCCCAAGAAGGAAAGGGGTCCAGCGGTGTGCGAACTCACTAGTGAGTCTATACTCGCACGTGTGAGCTGTGTGTAAAGTATATGGTACACATCCAAACTGCCCGTTAGGATAGTGCTGTAGGAAAATAAACTGATATGATAGGTTCCATCGTTGCATTAGCATGTTTTTGTATTTAACCCCCAATAATGGGGTCACTTAGTGAGTATTTCTTTAAATACTCAAGTCACGTGATACTTCTATTTCAGGTTAAGGCAAGACATTTCTGTATGGCTGACATTAATATCATAACTCGAGACCATGACATATGCATAGGGTAGTCACATAAAATATTTCTAAGTTAAATGTTTATTTATTTTATTTAATCTTTTGTTGTGTTATTTTAAAGGTGTTATTAAAACGCGTAAGTTTATGAGTATATTTTAAGGGGAAAGTGATATTTTATGAAAATTAAATAGAGTATATCCGGTGTTACGATCAATGTTACAGTGGGGAGTAAAAATTTTGTTTCTTTACGGATAAAATCAATCTTAGTGATTTTGGATTAACATTTTTGATAGTGTGCCTATTTTGGTAAATTTTTATGCTCGATTTTGGGTACTTAGTACCGAACTGCAAAGCCCTACTTTATTTCCCAACTTCCTTCGCTTCCTACTGCCTCTCTTGCTTCTGCAATTACGCTCCTCCTCGTATGCTTCTAATTCTCCAATTCAATCTTCAAACCTAATCATCCTCAATTTTTGCGTCTTCTGTTTATTCATGAACAACTTTTTTGTTTCTTCTTTGCCATTATTGAAACTTCTTATAATTTTCATTTACTGTTGATTGCACACTTGATTCTGTTCACTTCTATCGTTAGATCCGAAGCAAGAACGTGGAGCATTTCTCTGTTTAGCAATCAATGGCACTGGTATGTCATCGATACTTGTATCAGCATTTAACGAAAAAAAAAACTTTCTACATTTGAACCCTGTTCGGCCGATGAGATATGTTAAGAGTTTTGAGAAATTGGCTGTGTGTGTATTAATTCTCTTTTAAGGATAAATGTCAATGAATTGCAGTCAAAAGAAGAATTAAAGTTTTCAAGTATGTGTGATTCGGGTTTGATTGCAGGTCTTGCACGCAGGAAAGACGAATAAAAATGGTTTCAAGGCTCTCATTGTTGCACAGTACAATGGAGTCGAAGTGAAATTGGTCCCGGACTTTGAGATGGGCGTTTCAAACAAAACTCCGGAGTTTGTCAAGATGAACCCTCTTGGGAAGGTTGGTTTCTATGTTGTTGGCTGACATATGAATTGTGATAAATAACCTGCTTATTTGTTATAGAAAAATTTAACATTATATGAAAAAATTTCTCTCGCGTTTTTAGGTGCCTGTTTTGGAAACGCCCGATGGCCCCATATTTGAGAGTAATGCGATAGCTCGCTATGGTAAATGATGTGGACCATTTGCTAAACCTTAGGTTGGTTAAGTGATTGTATTTAAACTTGTTTGTGTATTTGATGGTGCAGTTGCACGCTTGAAGGCTGATACTACTCTGTGTGGTTCATCTGTTATTGAGTATGTAAGTTGGATTATGCATTCCTTTAGTGGTTAGAATATAATTGAAAAATGTTAAAACGTAAGAGGGTAAACTGAAGCTATTTAAACAATAAGAACCAAATTGAAAAAACACCCGAGTATTATGGACCAAAGTATATTCTTTGCCTTGTAAACGTTCTTCATTTCACGACCCCTTAACTATCATGTCGTCTTTTTTAACCATATTTCAGGGGCATATTGAACAATGGATTGATTTTGCATCATTGGAGATAGATTCAAATATGGTGACTTGGTATAGGCCTAGAATGGGGAGAGCTCCTTATCTTCCTCCTGTAAGTAATTTTTGTGGCCAATTGGAAGTCTCCTAATTTATCGGATTCCTTTTCAGCTTGTTTCGGTGACTATAATTCTTCCTTTTGGATTATTTGGTGGTCAAGTTCTAGCTTCTATGGTTGCAAAAAACTGCATATTCATAGTTTTTACAGTAATTTGGTTTTCTCTTGATTATTGCTCATCTTATTTGACTTAACTACTTTCCCCCTAAACTAAGGTCGAGGAAGCTGCAATTGCTGCATTGAAGAGGGCTTTGGGAGCTTTGAATACATACCTTGCTTCAAACACTTACCTAGTTGGTCATTCTATAACATTGGCTGATATCATCATGACTTGTAACCTGTTTATGGGTTTTACTAAGCTCATGACTAAGAGCTTTACCTCAGACTTCCCACACGTTGAGAGATACTTCTGGACCTTGGTCAATCAACCAAACATCAAAAGAATTCTGGGTGAGATCAAGCAGGCAGAGTCAATTCTACCTATTCAATCTACTAAGCAAACCCCCAAAGATGAGGTAAAGAAAGAACCCAAAAAGGAAGCTGCTAAAGAGAAGCCCAAGACTGTCGTTGGCGAGGGAGATGATGAAACACCAAAGCCAAAACCCAAGAATCCTCTTGATTTGCTTCCTCCCAGTAAGATGATTCTGGATGAGTGGAAGCGGTTATACTCAAATACCAAAACCAACTTCCGGGAGATCGCAATTAAAGGTACGAAACCTTTTCGGGTGCTCTTATTTCCATCCAATCCATGAATTACTTTTGAAAATGATTGCATCTTTGTTCGATTTGAGCAGGCAGACAGAGGGGAACCTTGTTATTTGTTGAGTAATGGTTCAAATGGCATTGAAGTGTGCTTCTTTTACGGAAAATGTCCTTTTTTCTTTTCTTTGGGACTAAGTAATCCTTTTATTTATGATCTTTAGAGTGCATTCTTACCTAAGTTACTAGCACATGTTTTTATTTCTTCAAACAAACTTGATAATGTACCCAACAAAAATGCTCAACAAAAAATGCATTACCACTCTACTGATGTTCTCGATGAAGGTATTATTTTCCGTGGTTTGCATTTAGTTTAACTACCACATATGTATAAACATTGTTTTAAATTTGTTGCAGGATTTTGGGAGATGTATGATCCAGAGGGGTATTCTCTTTGGTTCTGTGATTATAAGTACAACGACGAAAATACTGTTTCGTTCGTAACGTTGAACAAGGTTGGCGGATTTCTCCAGCGAATGGATCTTGCTCGGAAGTATGCTTTTGGAAAGATGTTAGTGATTGGATCGGAGGCTCCATTTAAAGTGAAGGGGCTGTGGCTTTTCCGTGGACAAGAGATACCACAATTTGTGGTGGATGAGTGCTACGACATGGAGCTTTATGAATGGAGAAAGGTTGAGATATCAGATGAGGCGCAGAAGGAACGAGTCAACCAGATGATTGAAGATAAGGAGCCTTTTGAAGGAGAGGCTTTGTTGGATGCCAAATGCTTCAAGTGAGGTAAAATGCTGTGCTTTGCAATTCTCATCTCCTTTTTGGGTCATAAGAAAATAAAAGCTCAAGTTGCAACCTGAACAGAATTTAACCGATTAGGTTTCTAATTAATTGCTATATCCTTTTTCCCCGTCTCATCGCCACTTGCTGCAAACCCTCCCTCCTCCCTCTTTGCTAATTCAATTCGCTCATCATTCTTGTATGATTTCATATGATACCAAATTTTTTAACAAGCTTTTTTCAAATGACATCAGAAATTACACATTTTTCAAAATTTTCAAATAAATACCAATAATGTTCATTTGATAACTGCCTCAAATGATGTCGGTAACTTGTCTCCATAATTTTTGCAACTTTATAACTCTTTGTGGTCATAATTATAGCACTTCCAATATTTTGATTGATCTTTAGCGAACGAGCCCTTAGTTCAACTAATTCCATAGATCACGTTTCTCATACCAAACATCATCAAGCACAAGAAAATAGTTTTTGTCACTCAACAATTTTTTGGGCTCCCGAAGGTCACATGAGTGTAGTAATCCTAATAAATCAATATTTTTCCATAATCAAAGATATGACTTTATAGGAGTCATTGTCCTCTAATGTATTACGAAAAAGATGATGTAGCTTCTCCTCTTTGTTCTGATACCACATATTAGAAGTCCTTCTTAGGGCATCAAGAGCAGGGTTCGAACCCGCGCGGACATAGCCTAAGTTTGTCTTCTTGACCGGACAAACATATGGACATTTATGATAATTAATATTATTTTTTTTAATAATTAATAGGCATGCTACGAGTAGTATTACTTGGAAACAAACTGGTAAGTCCTCATTCATGTTGACTTAAGGTGAGTATTAAAATAGTGGTGAAAACGATAAAAAAAAATGATAAAATAGTGGTGAAAACGATAAAAAAAATGATAGAAATCGAACTTAAGGTGAGTATTAAAATAGTGGTGAAAACGATAAAAAAAAATGATAGAAGTCGAAAGCGGGCATAGCCCAACAGATTTCAAGTCTATCTCCTTAACTACTCGGACATATCGACATTTACGATAATTAATATATTTTTTTTAATAATTAAATAGACATGCTACTCAATATGAGTCTAAAACGATTTGATTCCTAGTGGTCCCTACAAGTAGTATTACTTGGAAAGTAAGTCCTCATTCAAAATGATATATCTAACAATAGGGTTTGAACGTGTGCGAGCATAGCCCTACAAATTTCAAACCTACCTCCTTGACCAAGGCATCCTACTCAATATGAGTCCAAAACTACTCGATTTGATTCCTAGTCATGCATATTCTAACAACCTAAGCCAAGATATGCTCGCATCCAAACTCGTCCTAGTGATCCCTACATGTATTAGGTACCTAAAGTCCAAGCTAGGTACCTAAAGTCCATGTGGAGCTTGCTTTTCCACTGGTTCGAGCCTCTAAATTTTCGAAAAACACACTTGTAAGTCCTTATTCTTAGGATGTCAACAGTAGGGTTCGAACCTGCGTGGGCATAGCCCAACAAATTTCAAGTCTGTCTCCTTGGTGTTGTCATGTGTCGACTTGCGACAAAAACAACCCCTTCGGCTCGGCTCAGCTTTCGATGACTCCTCAATGTATCCGACTTGGGATTCCCAATTTTAGCCCATTTTCCACCGTTCTTACCCTTTCGAACCTATTTTCGGCCTCGATTAAGGTAATTGAGGGTGTTTTAGTGTCATATTTCACATTGATTAATTGGACTAATATTAATTGTGAAATACTAACAAAAGGTAAATGTGATAGGAAACTAATCCCGAAAACATTTGGAGTAGCTCTTGAGTAACGGGAGCTAACATTATAATTAGAGAGTATGCCACCTAAGGCCAACCAAGTAAGTGGCCTTACTGTAGGATAGGCTAGAAATTGTATGAGCTATAATATATGATTGTTTGCGATGATGTACGATGATGCATGCGATATTTAGGATTTATGAGTTGTATTGTATTATGTCGTGCGCTAGTTATATAATGATGTATGAGCTATGGTGTATGAGTTATGATGCATGATGATGTACGTAGATTTTATGATGATGTATGACGTACTTGACATGCTTGATACAATTAATGGCAGTATGATGATTATGATGTTTTTGCTACTTACCTTAATATGATGTCGTTTTTCATATTAAGCATGTTGTATGATGATGAGTGCCATGTTTGCATCATGTCGATCGATCGATCTAGAACACAACCCTAAGAGCATGAATAACAATATTAATATAAATATCTAATAAGTGTGTATTACTAAACGTAATATAGAGATGAGACTAAGAAGAGATGTTAAGAAGAGAGCTATAGGGATCTCATGCAGGTTGTGTGTATAAGCATAAGGATACTTCCACTTGAGATGATGAGTGCGGCTGCGCACAGTATGATGATGAGGGTGATCATGGTGAGCATGACACTAGGAGTTTATTGACCTTTGGACATCGCTATAGACAACTAGCTTGACCAGAGAGGATCTAGGGAGTGTGTGAACGGCCTAGAGATTCGCACTCACATGTGTGGGTCGTGTGTAGCGAAGTAATACACATCCATAGTAGTCCGGACTGGAGGCCTAGATAGAGATAGGTCCCTAGAGCATGATTGCATGTGTTTGCATTTAGCATGACCTCTTACTGAGTATTCTTCGAAATACTCAGTCGTGTGTCACATCACTTTTCAAGTAAAGGCAAAGTGCCCATGTACGGATGACGACGGCATCGGGAGTAGAGACCATGACACTTGCACAGGATAGAATGGGTCTTGCTTTTCATTGTTTTAAATTATTTTGTATCTATTTTATTTTGAAGTTCAATATTTTGTATGAAACATATAATACCATGGCAGTATTTTCTAGAGATGAAACTGTTTAAATATTTTCGATATTTATACTAGAAATGATATTTCTTTAAGAGTTATATTCCGCATATTAGCAGAGCATGAAACGTGAGTAGAAATTTAGGGTCGTTACATTTTTGAACACGTACGTTAGGCTAGAATAAGATGTTTTTAATTTAAAAGTTTATTTATTTTATTTAGTCTTTCATTGTGTCGGTCTTAAAGAGGTTTTCAAACAAAGACCAACAAAATTGATCTTGTGCAAGCAAAGACCAAAAAATTTCAAGTCTGATATGAACCAAGAGACATCAATCATACAATATGCTTCAATGAAGATGTGGAGAAAAGGTTATCAAAATAATCAAAAGATGTTTCAATTCATGCTACATTGAAAAAGAATAAAGTTTGATTGTTGTAAATTTTGGGTGGGTTATAATTTAGAGTAATTTAGAGTTATTGTATTTTAAGACTTTTTATTTAATTTCGGTTACATTTACATAATGGCTAATTATGGCCATAAAGTGTGAATGTTACAACTTTTGGAATGCCTTTAATAGTTTCATTTTGAGGCTATATAAAGCCATGTTTGTTGTATTTGTGAGTAAGACTTAGAAGATATATCAAAAGAAGCATTTGTGCTTTTCTTTAGCCAATGGCTAAGTTTCTTTGCAATTCTATGTAGTTTAGATTGCATGTAGAATCATTGAAGCTCGACATGATCAATCTTGCTTGTGGAGTGATTCGAATCTCAAACAAGTGTTTGAGATATTTGATCAACAAGAATCATTGAAGCTAGACATGATCGATCTTGCTTCTGGAGTGATTCGAATCTCAAACAAAGTGTTCTTGGCTTGAGATATTCGATCGACAAGGTAATCCGAATCTTATTCCCCTTGTATTGATTCCTTATCATATCATTTGGTATCAGAGCTTCAGACTCAAGATCGGATATATGTTTCCTTTGCGTTTCTTCTCAATTTAATTTTTATTTATTTTCATCTTTTTAGTTTTTAATCGACCCAAAGTTCAAAATTCAATCTTTGCTCTATTTAAAATTTTGAGAGGTGAGAATGAGAGCTTCATTTGTGTAAATGAGTGCAAACAGAGTGGCCTAAAATTCCTTGAGTGTATACACGTGAGAGAGTGTTGTGAGGTTCTTTGTATTTCCATAAAAGTTTCACAAATAGATTCGAGGACGAATCCTCTTGAAGAAGTGGAGAATGATATGAACCAAGAGACATCAATCATACAATATGCTTCAATGAAGATGTGGAGAAAAGGTTATCAAAATAATCAAAAGATGTTTCAATTCATGCTACATTGAAGAAGAATAAAGTTTGATTGTTGTAAATTTTGGGTGGGTTATAATTTAGAGTAATTTAGAGTTATTGTATTTTAAGACTTTTTATTTAATTTCGGTTACATTTACATAATGGCTAATTATGGCCATAAAGTGTGAATGTTACAACTTTTGGAATGCCTTTAATAGTTTCATTTTGAGGCTATATAAAGCCATGTTTGTTGTATTTGTGAGGGAGACTTAGGAGATATATCAAAAGAAGCATTTGTGCTTTTCTTTAGCCAATGGCTAAGTTTCTTTGCAATTCTATGTAGTTTAGATTGCATGTAGAATCATTCAAGCTCGACATGATCAATCTTGCTTGTGGAGTGATTTGAATCTCAAACAAGTGTTTGAGATATTTGATCAACAAGAATCATTGAAGCTAGACATGATCGATCTTGCTTCTGGAGTGATTCGAATCTCAAACAAAGTGTTCTTGGCTTGAGATATTCGATCGACAAGGTAATCCGAATCTTATTCCCCTTGTATTGATTCCTTATCATATCAAAGTCTATCTCCTTAAAAAATGTCATTTGGATAAAATATATATATATACACGATCTATTTCTCGTTAGATAAGTTTTATCTATCCAGCGATAATTTGACATATACTAAGATGAGTTGTTCAAGTTTTTCACCCTAACCTTAGGATCCTCATTAGCGTTCTATCAAATATACAGAATCTCAACAAGCCCATCGACCTTCTGCAAAGATTTACATTCGGAATTCGAGCGCTGTTGATACGATAAGGAATCAATACAAGGGGAATAAGATTCGGATTACCTTGTTGATCGAATATCTCAAGGCAAGAACACTTGATTGAGATTCGAATCACTCCAGAAGCAAGATCGATCATGTCTAGCTTCAATGATTCTTGTTGATCAAATATCTCAAACACTTGTTTGACATTCGAATCACTCCACAAGC